AAGAAGAAAAGGGGCTTTTTTGGAAGCGGTAATTTTCTGCCAAATCACTTCTTTTGAGTTGGAAAAGGACCATCACGTGTGTGAACTTGATAAGTAAGCCAGTGACCTTTTTGGTTTCAAGTAAATATTTTTCCCTCATGAAATGAATCTGGAGTCAACGTCATCCTTGAACTTCATTCACATCTCCTTCACAGAGGCTCCAGTCCAAATCATACGGGAAGGGTATGCTTCAGAAATGCTTATCTAAGCACAAACATTGCGACTCGCGGCCACCCCGGTGCACAACAGAAAGAAGCACAGCCGGGTCCTGCATCATCCTCACAACTGTTGCTAGGTTTGAGCCTATTGTTGCAGGCACTGTGTTCACCCATCTCATAAAGGGTCTTCCTCTTGTTCCCTAACCTGCCACTTCACCAAGCATGATTTCTGCCCCTTCAGGGACTGGTCTCTCTTGGTCATATGTCCAAAGTACTTGATACAGGGTCTCACCATGCTTGCTCTCAAGAGCATCTTGGCTGTACATCTTCCAAAACATCTGTTTGTTCTTTTGGTCCATGATACTATCTTTCAGCCTTATTCTCCAGGGCCGTGGTTGCACCGATTCTTCCCTGGGTTTCCTTCCTTATTCAACGCCCCACTTTCACAGGCCTAGGAGGTGATGGAAAATACCATTCCTTGGGTCAGGCACACCCTTGTTCTCAAAGTGACATCCTTGCTCTTCCGCACGTTAAAGAGGTCTCCCCAGTGCAAAATGTTGTTGATCTCTTGGCTGCTGCTTCCAGGACCAGTCTTTGGCCTTGACAAATTTTCTCTTTTTAAAATATTTTTGTTCTAAGGTAGTTTTATACGAATATGTTGCAAAAGTTTGATATATTTGAATAATTCATCCAATATTTATGTATTTAAAACAAATCCACAGGAATCAAAATATGACCTTGAATCCATCCCACCTGGATTTTGAGAACAATTCAGGAACAGATTTGACGTATTGAATCTAGTGACGGAAGACCTGATGAACTGTGGGAGGACATCAAGACCATCAATCATGAAGAAAGCAAATGGCCACTAGAGAGACAACAAATAGAGAAAAGATAAAAGTGGATGTCAGAAGAAACAATGAAACTTGCTCTTAATCATAGAGCAGCTAAAGCAAATGGAAGAAAGGATAACAATTTCAAAGGGCAGCTCGAGAGGACAAAGCCAGATATTACAATGAAATGTGCAAGGGCCTAGAATTAGCACAACAAAAGGGAAGAACACACTCAGCATATGTGAAACTGAATGAAGTTAAGAAAAAATCCAAGCCTCATGTTTCTATCTTGAAAGATTCTATAGGCAAAATATTGAATGATGCAGGAAGCACCAAGAGAAGATGAAGCGAATACATAGAATCACTGTACCAAAAAGAACTAGTCGACATTCCACTATTTCAAGAGATAGCATATGAGCAAGAACCAGTGTTGCTGAAGGGAAAAGTTCAAATTGCACTGATGGAATTAGCCAAAAACAAGGCTCCAGAAATTGATGGACTGTCCATTGAAATGTTTCAGCAAGCTGAAGAAGCACTGGAAGCACTCACTTGCCGATGCCAGGAAACCTGGACATTAGCTACTTGGCCAACTAATTGGAAGAGATCCATATTTGTGCCCATTCCAAAGAAAGGTGACCCAACAGAATGCTCAAGCTATAGAACAATATAATTGATATCACATACAAGTAAAATTTTGCTTAAGATCATCAACAATGTTTACAACAGTACATTGACAGGGAACTGCTAGACGTTCAAAAGAGGATATGGAACAAGGGATATCATTGCTGATGTCAGATGGATCTTGGCTCAAAGCAGAGAATACCAGAAAGAGGCTGATTTGTGTTGCATTGACTATGCAAAGACATTTGACTTTGTGGACCATAATAAACTGTGGTTAACCTTGAGAAGAATGGGAATTTCAGAACACTTCTTTGTGTTCATTCAGAACTTGCACAAGGATCAAAAGTCAGTTGTGCAAAGAGAATAAGGGAATACTGCATGGTTTGAAATCAGGAAAGGTGTGCATCCGGTTAGTATCCTCTCACCATACTTGTTCAAACTGCTGAGCAAATCACCAGAGAAGCTGGATGGCAAGAAGAAGAACATGGCATCAGGAGTGAAGGAAGGCTTATTAACTAGTGCTATCCAAATGACAAAACCTTGCTTGCTGAAAGCAAGGAGGACTTGAAGCATTTGTTGATGAATATTAAAAAGTGCAGCCTTCAATATGGATTACAACTCAGTGTATGGAAGACCCAAATCTTCACAACTGGACCAATAGGTAACATCATGATAAATGGAGAAAAGGTTGACGTTGTCAAGAATTTTGTCTTACTTGGATCCACAATTAACGCTCACGGAAGCAGCAGTCACGAGATCAGAAGGCCTATTGCATTAGGTGAATCTGCTGCACAAGACCTCTTTAGAGTGTTGAGGGGCAAGGATGTTACTTTGAGGACTAAGTCCACCTAACCCAAGCCATGGTATTCTCATAGTATCACACACGTGAAAATTGGACATTGAATAAGGAAGGCCATAGAACAATGGATGCATTTTAATTGTGGTGCTGGAGAAGACAATTGAAAGTACCACGGACTGCTTAAAGGATAAACCAATGTGTAGCGGAAGAAATATCACCAGACTCCTCCTTAGAGGCAAAGTTGACAAGTCTTGGTCTTGCATACTTGGGACCTATTGTCAGGAGAAAGCAGTCCCTGGAGGAGGACATCATGTGTGATGAAGTGGAGGGGTGGCGGAAGAGAAGAAGGCCCTCAACATTGACACTGGCTGCGTCAAGGGCTCAGGCCTGGGAACAATTGTGAGCATGGTGCAGCACCATGCAGTGTTTGGTCTGTTGTGCACAGAGCCACGCAGAGGCCGACTCCATGGCACCTAATCGCAAATTAAAATGAAGCCGTATTTATTTTACATTTACGGTGAGTAAAATTTGCTTCAGTATATTTGTTTTCTATTTCAAGAAGTTTATGCCAAGTAATTACCTAAGCCCTGCCAGATGAAGCTTCTGTCCTTCAGATTTTAAATGGTTGTTGGTAGGCCCTGTGTACGACATAACCCAACACTGCCTGGCCCTGCACCGTCCTCAGCATCCCTACTGTGCTTGGGTCCATTGCCGACAGCCACTTTGTCTGTCAGTCCGTCTTATCAATGGACTTCCTCTTTTGTGCTGATCCTTTACCAAGCTTGATGTCCTTTTCCAAGGATGGTCCTCTCCTGAACACATGCCCAAAGTATGTGACCGAGATTCACCGTCGGGTGTCTAAGGCGGATTCTTCCTCTCTTTCTTCCAAGAGACTTGTTTGTTCTGCTGGCAGTCCATTGGTCTGCAGTCCTCAAGGTCCACAGTTTGAAACCACCCGCTGCTCTGCAGGAGAAAGACGGGCCTTGCTCTTCCCGTGACAGGCTCAGAAACTCACAGGGGCAGTTCTACCCGGTCCTATAGGGTTGCTATGAGTCGGCATCAACTGCCTGGCAGTGAGAGTGAATCTGGCAGTTCGTAGTATAAATAATATTTTTT